CCCCCCCAAAGTACCTAAAATAGATGAGCCCCCGGGGGGGCTTATTAGAGGATTTACGGTACATTTTGTTGGATAGCGAAGATCAACTCTGATTGCAAATAAAGGGCTTGACAAATTTTTAGCCCAAGGTCCTTATGGTGGTCAAACTGTGACTTACATCCTTGAGGACAAGTCGTTCATTCCACTCTTACGATCGTAGGCCAACTGGAATAGTTGAGGTCCACAACAAAAAGAAAAGCATGTCTATGAATTTCCAGTTTATCTGCTCAATTTTCACCATTTCTTTCGTTTATACGAATGTCGATTAACATGTTAACTGCTATAAAATTTTTGCAGGATAATGTAAGTTTTGTATAAACGACTTAGTTACTTAATTTTGGCTCTTCCTTTGATAATTGTTATTTCTTCTTTTTCTATTTTTTAGCCCAAGTTTGCCAATTTTGCTGAAGACTTCAAGAATCACATTGAGGGATATCGAAGAATGTTCGACAGTGCTGACCCTCACCGGTTAGTTATTTGTTTACGAATCACTTGTCAATTGCCGCTGAAAAGAAAATGGATTTAATTACATCAGAAGGGCCATTATTTAAGGCGAAAAATATAATGTTACTGGTAATGCTTTGCTTTCTTTCTCTCTCTCCTCTCTTTAGTCGGTTGTTTGTATGTTTGTTTTTACTTTGGTTTTATGGGTGTATCATCCTCTGACAGAAAGTAGGTCATCATGTATTTTCCTCCGTCTAATCGTACACTTAGTTGAATATTTCATTTCTAAATCCCCACAGTGAGCCGTTGCCTGAACCGTGGAACAGTGACCTGGATTCTTTCCAGAAGCTTCTTGCGTTTAAATGCTTGAGAGCTGACAAAGTTACCAATGCAATGCAGGTACAAGAATTGTAAAGTATAATGAAGCCGGTGTTGCAAACATGTCATTTTTCCCTTTTTGAGACTGACTGATCGTTTTGATTTCCCTTTTGTCAGGATTTTGTTTCTGAAAATCTTGGCCAGCGATTCATTGAACCGCAGGTAAGTTTTGAGACCTTTGTGTTGACGGCGTGGTCATTTTATCTTACAAAATGCTATTATTAGAACTTATAATTTTAATCTAACTGAATTTTCCCAGACACAGCACAAATGCAAGTATTTTTATCAACTTTTGTTTTTCAGACGACAGATTTGTCTCTTGTATTTAAAGACTCGTCACCTACCACCCCACTCATCTTCGTGTTGTCAGTTGGAACTGACCCAGCCGCAGACCTATACAAATTTGCTGAAGAAATGAGGTTTTCAAAGAAACTTAGTGCGATTTCTCTCGGCCAGGGTCAGGTGAGGGGACAACTTTTGCAGTCTTCGAATGTTTTGAATCCTACTTTTTAGCAAACTCGTCTTCAGGTCCTTTCCCCTTCAAATGTGAAGTGTGAAATGTCCTTTGCACGAAATTTCATTTTTAGTGATATATATGCTTTTACTTTTCTTCGGTAGTTGAAAGAATTGAGTAAAACAATTAATCACCTGTGCAATTTCTAACGTAAGAAGAATGTTTTACACGCTTTTGTGCCCTAAAGTCGCCTTGAGGAAGTTGAAATTAGAAGATCTAATGAAAACACGAACTGTTTACGATTCACAGATTACCACCCCGCCCGGGTGTCGGCAAGACCGTAACAAAAGTCTACAAAAACAGTTAGTAGAAAGGAATTTACATCATAACGAGCTGTGTTTTATACTCTTTTTCTCTACAGGGTCCTCGTGCAGAAGCTATGATGCGCTCGGCCATGGAGCGCGGAAAGTGGGTATTTTTCCAGAACTGTCATCTAGCCCCGAGCTTTATGCCCAGTCTCGAAAGACTCGTGGAGAACATTGATCCAGACAAGGTTAGCAGCTATCAAGATTTTTTTTAACGAACATCAGACAGTTTCTGTTGTTCCCAAAGACTGGTGTTAATTCCGTTTGTCTCCTAACAGGTACACCGTGACTTCCGCCTGTGGTTAACTAGCATGCCAAGTCCCAAGTTTCCTGTCTCCATTATACAGAATGGTTCAAAAATGACCGTGGAACCTCCGCGGGGGATTAAAGCCAACTTATTGAGATCTTTCACTGGATTTAGTGACGAGTTCTATGCAAGCTGTAAAAGGGTTAGTTAAAAAAAAAAAAAATGGACTAATTACTGTTCACTTCATCTGTTCAACTAGTACCCTCTACCAGAATTTAAAATTTATTCTTTACACTCTTTGATACATATCCAGGAAGAATTCAAGTTCCTTCTTTTCTCGCTGTGTCTTTTCCATGGTGTCACCTTGGAGAGAAGGAAGTTTGGTGCGCTGGGTTTTAACATCCCATACGAATTTACCACTGGAGACTTGAGGATTTGTATCAGTCAACTGAGCATGTTCTTAGAGGAGTACGAAGAGGAAATACCATTCAAGGTAAATCCGTTTACTCATCCCTTTACGTTCATCGCCAAACAATCCGTTTGTCATCTCTAACATCAATAAAATCATTCACACGATACTGATGTAGTATGTCAAGTTCTTTTGAAGTCGGAATGTCTCTTCAGTTAGACTTAAAGGGAATGCTTGACAAAATTGAAGTTATCAGACGTAAAATTGTTTCAATTCATTAAAAATGAATTGAAAACATCCAGGTCTGCTATAAAAAGCTGTGTTTAAAATCCTGCACTTTATATCCGTGAAATGAGCTTAAAACCGTCATTTTGGCTAGACTTTTTCGCGGGCCACTGTGCAATGTAAAGCGGACATGGATGTCATACATCTCGTTAAAAGTAAGAAATATAGGCGTTCGTTTCCATCGGAACCCTCATTCATTCTTAGCACCTGTGTTTTTTACTATGCTTTTATACCTTTGTATCTCAAGTAGGAAATTTGTTTATTTTGCTTTTGTCGTGGCTTTTTTTCAGGTCTTGAAATATACCGCTGGCCACATCAATTACGGCGGTCGTGTGACCGATGACTGGGATCGGCGTTGTATAATGAACATCTTAAATGATTTCTACTCACCTGACGTGCTCAGCACTGAGCACAAGTTTTCCGAATCTGGAATTTATCATCAGCTTCCTCTAACATCTGATCACGAGGTATTTTTAGTGATGTAGCCAATTTTAATATCTACTATACACAAACTTCAGCATCATTTTAAAAGGATCAACGGATCGACGTAACTTTACCAACGAACCGGAGTGAGAGCATCCACCTGATAAAGACTTTACACTTCACTGTACTCTCATAATGACTGTAAGAGGATGTGGCATAGGGAATGGGGGGGGGAGGGGGGAGTTAGAGAGGATTTTTTAAAAGCCCGAGGCTGTTTAAGGAACGAATGACTCAGCACTTTCAGCATTTGAAATTCGCCAAGGCACCGATTACAGGGTAATGTAAACCTTTTCGTTTCCTCTTTTACATACACCCCTGGTTTGTTTGCATTGTCGTCAAGTCGAATGAGGCACTTCTTGCTGGTGTCAGCGACACAGTTCAAAAGATTTGCATCGATACAGTCTAAATTTATTGATCTGATAGCCATATGTTATCCAGTATTATCCATTTTTGTTTGCACTCTATGGAAGTTTCTGAAAAGACATGGTGGACTCACTCTCATACTTGTTACTACGCTTCATTTCTTGTCAGCATTATCTTCGTTACATTCGTGGTTTACCGATCAACGACACTCCAGAGATATTTGCTCTTCATGACAACGCTAATATCACTTTTGCTCAGAACGAGACGTTTAGTTTGCTTCAAGGAATACTCAAGATGCAGCCACGTGCGTCATCTGGCGCGGGAAGGTCGCGTGAAGAGGTTTGTGTGTAATGGGATCTCCTCCAAGCCTCAGCGGCAGTCGAAAATGAAAACCACTGAATATTAAGCGCTCAGAAACAGCCTTAAATTTGTCATCTTGCAAATTTTCATCCAGCTGTTTTTTCAGCCGACAATATTTGAAAAATTGCAGGCAATTGTACAGTTGGAGGTATACGCTGTAACCGCAATCATGCGGACGTTGACTGCTATTACAAAAAAATTACAAACTACACAAACACAGTTTGCGTTTCCATGAACACTCCCAGTTGGATGAAATTGATCACATTTCTTATGTTTAGGTGATGGAAGAAGCTGGCCGCAATATCCTAGAGAAGGTACCTCAACCCATTTCTGTTTCCATGGTGATGGAGAAACACCCTGTGCGGTACGAGGAGTCGATGAACACCGTGCTAATCCAAGAAGTGATTCGATACAACAAACTGTTGGAGACTGTCAGACTGACACTAAATGACCTGCTTAAAGCGCTCAAGGGGCTGGTGGTGATGTCACAGGCTCTGGAGACAATGTCAAACAGTATTTTTATCAACTCTGTGCCGGAATTATGGGCCAGTAAGGTATGCGATCAAATTGGTATCTTCATAGGTGTGATAAATATTTGTTGAGCTAGAAGTCTGTATGGTGTGTAATTAATGCTATGTTCAGTTTAACATCCGTACATTTCTATCTTTTGCACCTGTTTCCTGTCAGCAAATGGTGAAGAAAGGATGCGTAATTATCAGTTATATGGGTTCCGCGTATTTATTTTAGCTTCCTCTTCATTCATTTCCAGGCCTATCCGTCTCTAAAACCGCTGGCGTCCTGGGTAACTGATTTGGTGGCTCGAGTTCAATTCATTGACAAGTGGATTGAACATGGAATACCTCCAGTAAGTTTGAATTACTTTATGCAAAATTTTTACTAACATGCCGTTATCTCTCCTAATAGTTCTGTTTTCTTGGCAGGTGTTTTGGATATCAGGTTTCTTCTTCCCTCAAGGATTTTTAACCGGAACTCTGCAGAACTTTGCGAGGTCTTCTTCGATCTCAATCGATGTGATCACGTTCGACTTCGAGGTAAGTCTGTTTAACTAGTTATTACTCTCCGAAAAAGCCATTAATTTTTTTTCGTATTAAGAACCAAGGTTTACTTCGTTTGCATTTGATCTTTCTCCAGGTTATGAGGAAAACCGAAGCTGAGTTAACCTCTCGTCCTAGTGACGGATGCTTCATTCGGGGTCTTTTCCTCGAAGGTGCTCGATGGGATTACGACAAACACGAATTGACCGAATCCCGACCGAAGGAGCTGTACACCGACATGCCGATCATTTGGTTGAAACCGACGGCGAACCGAGAGAAGCCGAGCAAGGGTATCTATGACTGCCCAGTGTACAAAACCTTGACCAGAGCAGGTACGTGAAACGAAACGCAGCGATCTCTGATTTTTGATAGGAGTGGTCTCTTTTTTTCCGTGAAAACATAACAAACTTCAATGCCATTACAACACCACACTACATGTAGTATATTCAGTCTTTTAGTGCGGCGTTGAAAATTACCGTCCACTTAAAGTCGACTACTGAATGTTAGACTTAGGGCCTGATTACATGAGCCGAGCTGGCCCGGTTAGCCGGGCTGATTTCTTTTGTTTTCACGCTTTGGCGAACACCAAAACAAAAGAAATCAGCCCGGCTAACAGGGCCAGCCCGACTCATGTAATCAGGCCCTTAGAGACAGAGTAATCGGACAAATAAACTACAGAAGGGCGACCTTGAGGACAGAAAAGCTTGACGCCGATTACCAATGACGTAGCTCTTTTCAGCAAATTTCCGTATTACAATAACGATAAGTGGGTGGTATACTAATTTTGATCAATCTTTTCTTCATTTTAAAGGTACACTATCTACAACAGGCCATTCCACAAATTTTGTTCTTCCAATTGAGCTGCCAAGCAGTCAGCTGCAACGCCACTGGATCAAAAGGGGTGTGGCACTCATGTGCGCTTTGAACTATTAAACTGTTTCGTAGAGTCGAACAAGCTACAGGCGTTTGGTTTTCGATAAATTTCAGACGACATTGTTGGGTTGCATATGTAAATAGTTCCATATTTTTGTACGTTGTTTGTGCCAACGTTTCTTTCGTGTGTTTGAATACCAGTTCGTGTAATGTATACAGACGGTTTTTCAAGTTGAATCTTGTTCATAAACGATCAAGGAGGAACGTGACAAAATGTTTTGTAAATAGGAACTTTCACAACCAGTGCTACATTGTCAATTATGTTTGAATATTTGGTAAAATATTAAATAACATAAAATTTGACTTTTCCATTCATGTGCAATTTCTCAACATGCAACTTCAGCAAGTTCTTTAGTGGACATTTTATAATAACACTTCCCATAATAAGAGTGTATTGTTCAGATACCATGGCTGCCCTTGCACAACTGTTGACATTTTAGTGATGCATGAATACTTGAAATTTCAACCATAAGACATTTTCTCATGGGTAAACCTTCATTGCAACTGTTGTGAAGTGTCTCTAAAATGTGTTTCACAATCAGCAACACTTCCCACAACAAAACTTAGTGATTCAAAGTGGTAAGGGTGGTTTTTCCTCTAACAGGGAGGTGAAGAATGTACTTGCCATTCTTGCAGCATACAGTGTTATTCAAAATGTTCCCTCAAGCAAAGATTGTTCAAAAAGCCCTCGGCTCATTGTTCAAAGTCTAAATTTTACGCTGTTCACATTATATAGAACATGATTCCGCAGTCCTCTTTTAAGATATTCCTGCACTATCTCATTGATCTTCTTTGATTTCAAGAGCTACATTACTCTCCTGGGCTGGTTCAGTCTTCTTTACTTTTCTAGTTTTCTTATAAGCCTTATTAGCATCATGTGCTTCTGCCAGTTCTTTGCACAACCCTTCCATATGTGCAGCCTGAAATGTGTGAATTAATAAGGAAAAAAATCCCAATGAATATGAATCCTTAAACTCCAATATGTGCAATAGACTTTTTCCTTCTTATTGCTATTTGAACATTTTAAATAAGTATACACTAAAACAGTGGATGAGGTTCTAGGTTCTGATTGGCTAATCAAACATCAAATTTCCTTTGTGCAGGATTTGCACCCAAAAATATCATAAGTATTGAAGGGTTAAATGAGTTAAAATCACCTTTTTGTGCTATATTTTCTCACTGTTTTAGTATATACTTAAACAACCACTCACTGCAGTGTTGGTGGCTAGTGATGGATATTAACTTTGTGGCTTTGAAAATGTCGACAATTGGCCACCTCAACTTCTGTGAAAAGTTGTTAATTATCCAGCAGGTAGGTTGTGAGAATGAACAAACCCTAACCCTATCAGTGGAGGGTGTTATCTTGATGTTATACCAAATTCTGTTACTGGTAACTACTTAACAAATGCAAAGCCTGTAGAAGGGAGTTGAAGGATTAATTAATGATACCACAAATATTAGGTAAGTGGTAATTTTAATGATCAGGAGAATTTTCTAGACAAAATAAAGATCTTGTACACACCAAAGTAGAACTTTTTCTGGCAAGCAACTGCACATCATCAGAGTTGATTTGTGTTCTTTTTCCATGTCTGAAAGTAAAATATGGCGGTGCTCCATGGATCTAGAATGGTTATCAACATACACACCAACTCTCCATAACAAAAAGCAATTCTCTCTATCTCATATATACACGTCAGCAAATACACTGGATGAAAGTTTATACTTAGGAACATGACAGTTCTTTACAAATACATAAATTATCACAAAATCCAAAACAATTTGGGATTTTCTGCTTACCTCATTTTCTTGTATCCTGCACATTTTTCCTTACAGAAAAAGGAATATCCCTTCTTTTCAACCCTGTAACTGCTTATTTACATGTTACAGCCCAATTGTAAAACCATTTATGTCTTATGGAAGGGTGTGGTGAGTGCAATCAGACGTATTTTAAGAAGGGTATATCAGTTGGTGAGATTCAATGGTGGGAGATGATGTAAAAGTTAAAACTTCCACTTTCAGATTTCCACTGAGGTTATATCAGTAGATTAGTGCTTATTTGCAACAACAAAGAATCATACCAGACAGATGAAGGAATGAGATCAACTTACTTTGCAAATAGTTCAAGATCTGTTGCAAAAGATTCTGAAATGAAATAATTTTCCTTTAATGTACTGCATAGTAGTAATTAACGATTATTCCACAAGCGTGCGTTGGATATGAGATGATAGATAGCCAACGAGGCATGTAGCGCCAAGTTGGCTATAATCATCTCATATCCAACAAGTACAAGTGGAATAATCGTTTTATTAAAAAAAAAAATGCCCCCAAGATACTAGACAAATCTTAGATTGACTTTATTTTGTGAGAAGAAACTGGATTTAACAATTTACAGAAATTAGATTATGGTATATTGGCTCATATACCATAATGGCTGAGCCAATAAAAAGTCTTGAACTGCATTATCCAATGATCCAGTTTTTAAAAATGAGCTATTATTCCACACCAAAAATGTAGAAAGCCTGGTTAATGAGCATATTTCATTCTCATCTGCCTGTGGTGGGTGGGGAAGAAGGCAGGGGGGGCTACAAGAGCTTCTTAGAGACCAGTTGTTGTTTATCGCTGGGGGATTGATTAGAGAGTTTTGGCTGTGTCATGATTCACCTGATGCCCTAGTAATGCTCTGTAATATTCTTGTGATCCCACTTCATTGGCAGCAGTCAATTTTCTTTAGTTCCCCCTTCATACTTTGATGGCTGGGATTGATCCCCCTTCGTTTACCCATGAAAACCATGTGGTCCCCACTTAAACCCTATCCCTAACCGGGTTCCTCCTGAGAAAGTAGAAGTATTTCAGGGGGGGGGGGAAGGGGGGTTCTGAGTCTCAAAAATTTTGATGTTGCACGACTACCATATTTAATAGACGTACCGCATTGCTTGAAAGTCGTCTCTGTAAGGGCAGCAATGAATCTTCTGGAAAATTGTAGCCGTGACTCTTCACCTACATCGAAGTCAAACATGTAATTCACGGCTGCACACGAGAACAGACTTGCGAATTTGTTCTAAGTACAGTTAAAACTGGCAAATTAATACACTTACTGATTAAATCTGTGATATTGTGGTGAGGAAAAACTCAAATATCGAAAAAAATGACAGATATTCATCGGCAACAACAGATCAGATGCTGGGGTGAGCGAAGAATCATTGCGATCTTCCTCGCTCGATCGAAATGAAACATACCTGCTTTTTCACAAATACGGCCTACGGTGTAGTGTAGAGCAGCTTTTAAACGCTGTGAAGTAAAGTTTAAGATCAGAATAAATTAAAAACTTGAAAAGAGATTTAATCAGAGGAATCCGACCTGTTGATAAGCCAGGGCTTCTTATTCTTCTTCCTCCAATTCGTCTCCTGATGCCGCCATAACTAAATTTCGCGCCTCCAGGTTCCAGTCTACCGCAGACGAAAGACATCCATTAGTTACCACTCTCCTTTATTTGAGTTTATATTTATACCTACTAAATGTTTGTAATGATTTCTTCGAAACTAGTTACAGAATTTGATACATTTTAAAAGGGAAGTTATCAGTAAATTATGTGGATTGGGTATTCTTTTATTCAAGAATCCCTATTTCTATTATCCTTGTGGCCTTCTATGACTATTGTGGCTCACAGACTCAATTCCTTTTCTTTCCGTGCTCTGAAGAGACAACTCACAATTAACACTCCGATTATTCTCTATTGTGCTAAAGAGAAAAAAAATCCTAAGAACAATGGGTGCCAACAAAAGGTCTATTGCTATGGTTACGCCCCGTTTACACGACTGAATTTACCACTTATCGAACAACATGGCGGCCACCACAAGTGAGTCGCCGTCCTCACGTTATCCAAGCGAAAAATCGGTAAAAGAAGCCTTAGATATGCTCAAACCTCCTGGCATTCTATCAAAGGTCAGTCCATCTTATCAGAAGTCTTATCTTTTGCTATAACTGTTATCGCAAAAATATAGTTAACTTGTATAAGTGAACGAAATATCACTAAATGTTATTTGTTTATCACTGGCAGGCTTACAACCAATTTCAACTTAAAAGATATCAGGTGAGTCCTTTTTCGTCTTTGTAAGTCAACCTCTGAACCTACCAAATTAGGAGTTTTCGGTTCCGACCCTCCTTCAATATTAACTTGAATTCTTTAGAGCAAGACTGCAACGTGAAATTAAACTTCTACCACCATTTGTGAAATTCCGTAATTTTGAGAAGCGTTGTGAGGTCCTTAGTAGCTTGAATGTAAGAGTGATCTCAGTACCTGTGTGAGCTCCTCTTTTGTGATGAGTACCCGTCATTCTCTAAAATCCAAGATCCAAATATTCGAACTAAGTTTCTGTGATTTATCAGCCGTAGATATCTGTTCCTTACCAAGGATGTGGTGAAGTTTTAAGAGCGAAGCCAATATCCGACCATCTTAACTCAATGCACTTGTACTCGATTGAAAGGATTATATCAAAAAGCCAACAGATTACACCAAACAAGTGCAAAACAGCATAACAAAACTGTCGGGGTTTTCACGAGTAAATGGAAACATGTTTTCGCCCGCGGATGATAAGATATATAAAATATTTATATGATTAAGAAGTGTTCCTCGTAGGTGAGCTGTAATTAAAGAAACTGCAGAAAATAGGTCTGGAAAGAATTCAGGCATGGAAGGCATGTAAACTTGCGCGGGAAAGAGTTCCTTATAATCCCATATATTAATTACGCATTCATTTCATAAAGACTAAATATAAAGGTTTCTGTAGTAAATGGCTTGAACGTGGGGGTAACATGTGAAGGTGTAGTCTGATTGTCCGGGTGAGTGTAGTCCTGAGAAGGACTGTTGTCGGTGGTAGTGACTGACATTTCGACAACCTGTGCGGAAGTCATCATCAGAGTCAAGTGAATGATTGTTGTCAGTAGAATGTTCTTATTCCAGTTCGTGTGAAATGATCGGTTGGTTTTGCCGTGATGTTATTGGCTGTAAGACTCAAGTGACGTAAGTCGGTCGTGATTGGTCTGTTTCGATCTGTCGGTAAAGTTAGGTCGTTCTCTGTGCGGAAGTCATCATCAGAGTCAAGTGAATGAGTCGTTTGTATGGAGCGGGTAGTTGTTGACATCTGTTTAGGGGAGTCTGTTCTAAGTTAGTAAACCAGCTTTCCAGAGTCAGTCGTTGAAAATAGTCAGTGCTGTAGGTTAGGCATTGCGCAGAGTCCCAGTCAATGTTGTGGTTGGTAAGTTGATGGTGTTCAGCAATGTGATTACTGACATCACCTTTCCTCGTCGCCCGTCTGTGTTCAGTCAGTCTTGTTGTGAGGTTTCTGCCAGTCTCACCGATGTAGGAGGCTTGGCAGTTGGAACAATTGATCTTTTAAATCATTCCCTGTCTGTTCCTCGGTTCGTCTTTTTCTTTAACGTTTGAGTAACAGTCAAATTAAAACACAGGATTAGCTTCATTTTGCCCGTACAGAATCCTCACAGGTTCAAAAATATTTAAAAATCATTTACTAACTTTGAGCCTATTGTATCGTACCAGCATAATGTTCAGAGAGAGATGAACCTAATTCAATCTGAATTTTTACACCCTTTTGTCCTATGTGCACAGGGTCTTGTTAACTCAAATGATATTAGATAATTTATAAAGAGGAAAGGAAGCTATGTGAGGGAATATAACATGCTGGTGGGCTCTGCATACTCTATGACTTTTCAAATATCCATGAGTGTGGAACAGATCTCTACCCTTTGAGCATTCATACAGGAAGTCTAGACAAGTAGTTCAACCATTTGTAGAATTTGTATGGACTAGAAATAGTACCAAGGTGAGGGTTTGTTGCCAACCCTAAAATTGCTAAAATTTGCCAGCCAAAGTCATAGAAATGACAATATACATCATTCCAAGTAGAATTACTTCAGATTCTGTTTCAATGATAACTGAGTTTATTCATGACAATTAAGTATTAACAGTTAATGGCAACAAACTTATCCTCTTTATTCAAATAAAAATGGCTCCATTGTTTGTACTGAGCCCCTCAAAAAGATAATAGGACAAGAACATATTGTGCAAGAAAGCGATAGGAAGGTTATTGATATTTTCTGGAACACCTTGGCCATGCTCTTCAGATTTGCTTTGACTATTTATTTTATAGATATTTTTTGAAAAGTCACTTACTTTTTTCATTTGATGAATTCCATCTCACACATCAGCATACATACAAATTCTGATGCTAGTTAGTCTAAAAGGGGAAATAAAGTTGTTGTCCAGACAGATTATATTTATGATGATAATGATAGGGGATCATCACAAACTTGAAAAACAATTACCCCCTGGCTATGTTACAATGTAGCTCCACTCAAGCTTGAGGAATAATTTTCAAAGTCTGTGCTGTTACTTATAATTCTTGTGTTTTTCTCAGAAGTACATCCGTTGGGATAATTTGATAGTTGAGCACACTTTGAATAACACAATGATCTTTGGAATTACAGGCTAAGTTTTGTGAAGTCATACATGAAAATAATCATTTGAGTGAGATTCTTCTCTCAGTGAACTAGTTTTTATATTGAGATAAGTTAACAGATATACAATCCTTACAGCAATGAAAATTAAGAACGTAATCTAAGCTTCGGCTTCCTGAAAACTTTCACTTTCCTTGCATCAATGTGGTAAGGGCAAGTTAAGATTTTTTCAAAAATTATTTCCGATCTATAAACTAGTGCTTTGTTAACATGTTGATGTTGAAATGTAATTAAGAATTACGGATTCTACCGTGTGCTTGTTTAAAGTAGTTTAAGACAACAACGAGTTTATGTAATGAAGTGTTTCTTACGTGATAATTACCATGAAAAAGGATCGCTTTCCCTAAATAGGGTTTCATCACGCTTGAGTTGTTCCTGTTCAATAGTCTGATAAATCCTGCAGGTGATTTACTTTACAACACAAAGCCTGTTTCCAGGCAACCGTTTTACATTCTTCATTAACTGAAAAATCATTTGATGCAGTTTCACAAACAACCAAAACCCAGGTAAATCGAAGCCAGACCGAAGCTCGTTCTTTTTTCTCCTCGAGATTCACGTAAAATGGGCGATTACCCCGGTAGCGGATACAAAATGTCTTCTTACGGTCTTAAACTTTACAATCCTCAAGAAACGGATGGCCAGTGGACAGAATGCTGTAAGGTACAACACACCTGCGGGAAGAAACAGACTGTAATGTGTTATTTTGGTAGTGGTTTGGGTGAAGAAGCTAAACTCTTCTACTGTTTATTGATTTTAGCGCGAAGATGCGATCAGAAAGAACCATGTCGTCACTACAGGTGAAGAAGGTGTAGCAGATTCGTGGAAAGTGGAGAGACCAAAATCTTTAGATCTTACACAAGACACCAGCTATTTCCTTGCCAAGACAGTGGTATATTTCATTTCATTGTTGCCTCACCAGTCCCGATATTAGTGAACCTTCCTTGTGCGAAATGTGAAACGTTACGTTATTAAGTTCATGTTATTGACAAAAATAATTCCCCGTTATCTGTTGTTCTAAGAACGGTTTATTAGCATAGACACAGCACGAAATTGATTGAATTTATGGTATTTGTTACTCAGTGCTTTCTGTTGATTATATGTGACTTCAGTTTGCAGCGTATGTTGGTGAATAAATAGTGAATTTGCAGGCGCTTAGATAATTTGGCTTCAAGATACATAATCTTAGCGTCTTTTTTTTTCTGAATATTTGATTTCGTACCTTGAATTTAAGAGACAGAAAATACACTCGCGATAAAGGTATAAGTTTTTCTTACTTGTCTTGCAGCATCAAAGACCTTCTACCTACGATCGAATAAATCATGTTGTTGAGGGATACGATCAAAAACTCCACCGTGACGACAGAGAACACGCCAAATCACGAGGACTTAGAGTCAATAAAGAGGTAAGGTTGTGTTTTGTTTTGTTTTTGTGTTTGTTGTTTATTTTTACTTACTTCTCACTCGTTTGTAAAGGAACCTGTTCGGAATTTTTAATTGTCCGAGTACTTCTCATGATGAGTCCTTTATAAACTAAACAGTGTTGAATATTTAAAGTAGAATTGAGAGCGATAAACAATACAATACATTGGGTTTTTGATTCGGTCGGAAATTTGATCTTTTTTGAGAAATAGAGCATGATTTTGATATACCGGTGCGTAAGAAAGGAGAGGGGGTGCTTATTCGAGAGGGGAGCTTACTCGGCAGAGGGTGCTTATTAGAGAGTGAGCGCTTATTTAGGAAATAGCAAAATGGAATTCGTTGTTTTGACTCCCACTCAAATGTGTTACCCTTTTTTCGAAGGTAACTCTCACTTAAAAGCGAAAAGTTTCTCTAGACATATTCAGCTCGGTTGGAACACCACAATTACAGGGACACGCACAGGGGGTTTCCTTCTAAAATGAATCTTACTGTTATTGCTTATCGCCTTATTAGGAGATCAGAGTGCCAGTTCCCGCGCGGTCTTCTTCTATGTACGGTCATCCGCTCCTGAAACCTATAGAGTTCACAGACCGGAAACACGTCAGAGTGGAGATATGTAAAAAAGATTTCCTTCGGTTAGGAGGAACCAACATCGGAGATGCTGATTGATATGTCCTCCTTACATCAAAGAACGTCTTCCATTCACTCAACAGTCCAGGAAATAGTAATCTACGACGTACCTTGGTTCTTGCATTATGTTTGGAGCCGCGAAGTACAGGCCGCCGATTCGAAGATTGCGCGTAAAGTGGCGCGACAAATACGGGTCTGGGAACGGACCTGTAGTGAAATTCATTAAAAACGAAAATATGGCTCGATAATATAAATATAATCGCTACAACGTTGGTGATTCTTAAAAGTAGCTTGTGGTGACGAGTTGTACGTGTTGTATTATGTAGCCCAGTAATATAATGCTGACGTCCGATCTCAACCTTAGTAACACTGTAGACCTTAGCAATTCAGCCTATGCTGCTATTAAGGTATCGAATCATTCACTTTCTCACTTTCACTTTCTAATATTGAGTCATTTATTGAGTTATTTAGGTGTAGTTGCGATATTTTTATATGGAATTTCTTCTGCTTAAATATTTGTTGTATGTACCCCAAGTTGCTCGAAAATGCATCGAATAAATGTGGCACGAATGTCAGTCTTCTATCGATGAAAATAGCTTGGGACGTCAACTGTTTGTTTCAATGTTCAGTAAGGTAACTCTGGTCTTTTCTAGTTGGTATACTCAGACTTCTTGTAGTCGATCTGTTTCTAGGCTTCTATTATTCTCTTCCCTTTAGTAAGTTATAAAGTCTGGTCTGTAGCGTTTACAACCCAGGCTTTCACACCCTCATCCTGTTTCGGATGAAATCCGGTCATACCGTTACCGTGTTCACGACCAAACAAGTTTAACGATTATGATACATCTATCATATCCAGATACGTGTGGTGTCTTCAGATAGATCCAGAAAGAATGTGTTCCGTTAGATGTGCAGACCGTACATCGCTAACGCTCACCCAGTGTAGCGATGAAGACTTCCCGTCCAGAAAGAAACCCCTCTGACCCCTTGTTTAGGAAGGTAGTAGATTTCATTGAATATCCTGTTTGAGAGCTCGAGAGTGTCTCTACCCACACACATGTCAAAGATTACCTCTGCCTTCGGGTGTAGCTTAGTCCAGCCACATTTTGATTATAGTAGTGTTGTTTGGGGCAACCGCGATATTGGCCTATTTGAAAAATTGCAGAAGCTCCCAAACCGCACAGCCCGTATTTTACTGCATGCAAGCATAGAAGACGATATTGATAAGCTGTTCCAGGCACTCGGCTGCCTTAAAACTTAATCCTCAAAGGCTAACAGCCACCTCTGTTATGATCTACAAAACTTTACAGGGATTGACCACTGAATATCTACACGGTCTCGATTTGTATCTCAAAATGATATTTCTTCGTGCCGACTGGGGAATTCTGACAATAAACTGGCTCTTCCACAACCTAGCACCAATTATTGAAGAGAAGTTTTTCCAGTAGAGGTGCTATGTTGTGGAACAGCCTTCCCCATGAACTCCGATAAACAGTTTCTTTCAGAAAATTTAAATGTAATGCTTACAGCTTTGGGTGAGTTACAGCATCCTCGAAAAGATGCTTTAGTGATATGATCGATTTTTATTCTTATAATACTGTTTTAATTATTAGTTAGTTTGAGCAAGGCAGAATTACTGATTCCAGGATAGTGACACTTAAATTTAACTGAATGAATTTTACGGTGTATAATAGATAGATATCTGTCTATGTAAGTCTTAGGCCTAGTTTATACGTCGCGCTACAGTCGAATTTAATTCAGACGAATTTAATTCGACTAAATTCGTCGTTCCGTCGACATAAACCGTGGCGTGGTTTTATGCGTCGAAATCAATACGGTCAAATTTAATTCTCTTCCACAATTCGAAAAGCTCGCCACGGGTCGCTGCGGGCTCGCCAAAATAAATTGAAATACATTAAGAAAATGTATGCATTTCATTCGACGCGACGCTAGTGCGACGCTTGATTTTCCAGCTTCGCTATCCCAGTAAATCAAATTTTTTCGGTCAAGATTGGGCAATAGAAATCTAAGTGTATTCATGAAGTCAACATATGAATTAAAACCAGTGTAATGTGTGAAAAGCTTCTCTTCTTTGGAGAGCGTAGTGCACTTTGAGAGCAAGTGGTACACAGAAAAGCTATGTAGACATGGTATCCTGTGAGATATATCCGTTAATTCGCAGAAATCATCCTCTTGCGTTTGAGTCTTGCGTGAAGTCAAAGTTAGCCCTGACATATTTAAAGTTTCGTCACCTTCGCCCTCAGATGCTGTGTCAGTCGCTTCTTCTTCCTCTTGCCTACTGGTGTTCAGCTTTTCTACAGCAGACCTTGCCACAGTTTGTGGCCTTTCCTTACTCCAAGCGAATATAGAAGGGACTGCGTTGCGTTTTAATCTGCGTTTTTTCGCGTCAGGATTGATGAAATCCTCAGGGCTGAAGTGCTTGCTGCAAATCTTCACATGCTTATTCACATTGAAATAATTGGGATTTCTTCGCATTTTCGCGATCCATGTCTTCAATAAAGCCTTGTTATCGAGCGGAAGCCCGTGGAAAGATATATCTGGACGTTTATCAGAGCTATTCTCGCATTCTCCGGCGCAGCAAAAGTGCGGCATTTTTAGGATGAACTTTTCCACGTGCGAACCGAAATGTGTTTGTTTTGATTTCGACACCCATTTCAAGTCACGTGATCGCCGCTCCTGAGTTAGCCGATTGCGTCTATTCGGAAATGGGCTAAAAATTCGACTGTAGCGCGACGTATAAACTAGAACTAGGCCTTAGACAGACCTAAAAGAGCTTACGTGCATGAGAAAAACGTAAAGATTTGAAGCAGTATCACAACTTTTCCCACTCCATGCCTTAAATTTTAACTTTCATCTCTTGTTTGCGGCCCTTCGACAGACTAATATATTTTCGAATTTTAATAAACGTTTTAATATGAAAATCCTCTATATTTCAATTCAAGATTCTCATGGGTATAGTCTATCGTTCAGTTCCATGAACATTGTCCTAGCACGTTCTATTGCTTACTTTTTTTATCCAATTTCTTTTTTATTCCTCGCGTAAAAAAATCAATATAATTTTTGTCTTCCCAGCAGCCTCGCTTTGGAGTGTTGTTGCGTCTGTTGTTACAAAACTGAGAGCTGGACACTAGTTGTTCCTCTCTCTTTCGATCGTGCGAGCAAAATGGTGGGAGAAATATTTCAGTGCCTTCAATCCTCTTGAATCCCTTGCCATCTTTTATCTTTTATACTTTACGACGGGCAGTTGGATTCTTTATTCCATCCTTTTTGATATAATGGTAATCATTTCTCGTTGCATTCAGGTTAATGTACCAAAACAGCGCCGCACTTATTGCAAGGCCAAGAAGTGTCGAAGACACACTTTGCACAAGGTGACCCAGTACAAAAAGGGAAAAGATAGCCTTTACGCACAGGGTAAGACTTATAACCTGTCATTTACTGTTGATAGTTTCATCGTTTTAGTAAATATTTCGATAAAAAACTACTGCACTAGTTACATCGAAAGGTATCGTCTTGAAGGCGATCGACCTTTGCTTTGAAGTAACATTTCGACAGTTTCTGAGTATTCTGCCTTCTCTTCAGGAAAACGCCGTTACGATCGTAAACAGTCAGGTTATGGTGGTCAAACGAAACCCATTTTTCACAAAAAGGTAAGAAAATAAAAATGGGGCCTCTGTGATCGTCTTTTCAAGTATTTCCCTATTGTTATTATTTGCTTTCAGTTGTGTACCTTTGGTCGAAATTTTGATCTTATTTACCACATGCACTCTAAATACGATGTGATCTTCTTTATTAACTGGTTATTTACTGTTAAGTCGAATCACGTTTTATTTCTGAAGGATTGTTACCGTATAAATTATATCAGTGGAAGTGTTTGTTTTGACGTGATTCTGGTACAGTGGCAAACCATAATTTTTTTGTGTCCTAATTTCATGTAAATCTGCTTAATTGTTATTTTGTGTACCTCTCTAAACTAGTTAAAGAAGTATTTGAATGTGTGATTATACTGAAGTGTTTTGGTTTCTCTGGATGGTTCACTTCCAATGTGGTCTGTAACATTTTGGGTGCATATTCCTAGTCTTCTTGTGACAGAGACTTCCAAGTGGTTGCATATGATGCTTTGAAGCCTTATGCTCTGCTGTGATAAGTTTGTTTGGAACAGCTGTTATTTAAGAATCCAGTAGACCTTCAAGGGTGAATTTTTTTAATATATTTTTTTTCAAGTCAATGTAAGCATAACTATTTTAACTACAGTTTCCAAGAAGTTTTATTGGTGATGCTGATAAATTTGCGCAAAGAAACATTGTCTGTTTCAAGTTGTCAGACCTCAGTTGATTTACTATTAGGCCAAGCTTAAAACAAACAAATTTTGCCAGGTAGCATATTTATAACTTTTCCATTGATATAAAGGTGATGTTGATTATACATGTTGACAGTTTTTTCACAAAAGAAACCTCCAAAGGTCTACTGTATCCTTAAGTGATTACATCATGAGGCAAATAAGGTTACTTTTGATTTTTATTGTATTTAACCAAGGTGGATAACCAGAACTTCATATAAGATTATTTCAGGGTTAAATTTGAAACTGCTGCTTTAATTTTCAAGGCCAAAACCACAAAGAAAATTGTTCTTCGTATGGAGTGCACAGAATGCAAGTACAGGAAACAAATTGCCCTGAAAAGGTGTAAGCACTTTGAGCTGGGTGGAGACAAGAAGAGAAAGGTAATGAAGCCTGTATTTATAAACAGTGCTAAAGACCTGTGTTCACTCAAGTGGCTTTGCACCTTTTGGTTGGTCTGGAACAGTTGATTTGTTGATTGCAGCACTCTCCCCAGTGGTCATCAACTAAAAGATAATTTTCAACTCTTTGAAATTCCATTAGTGTATTCAGGGAAGTAGTTTTTTCATGGGAAACACATTTGTATATTATTTTGTGTTTCTCACTTTGAGACTATCGGAAACATCATTTTGAGGACCTTCCCTGGAGAATGGGTTTCTGCAATATGCCAGAAGGGATGCTGAAGTTTTCAGGATTTTCATGGGAAAATAACATCATGCTACTATTACATTGCTGTTAAGCAGCTGGTGCTCTCCAACTTGTAAATTTATGTTCAGCCAAAAGTGTTGACAGAAACATAATTCAGATATATCTGTTCGACATTATTGTGACTTTTTTACTGGGAGCCTGTTGGTTTTGAAAAAGTCTCAGCTGACTAAGGCAAACTCAAATTCCATTCTTACCTAGATGTAACCCCTTTCCTAAGGGGGGAAAACACACCTGGAATTCAAAGGATAAATGATCCTGTCAGTTCTGAATAGCATGGTTTGTTTTTCATACTAGCAATTATCCAGTGGAAAGTAAGGGGGCCTCAGGTCTCAAAGCACCAGTCTGGGTAGTTAGGATATTAATATAAAGTGAAAAATTTTGTGTTCCTGTCTCTCTATTTTTCGTTTTGTATAGTGGAACATTGTTAGTGCAGAAAAAGGGCCATGATTATCTTCAGATAAATACAAGTATATCACCTAACCATTTTCCTTTGCATTCCTTTTCTAGGGTCAAATGATCCAGTTCTGATTGTAATAAAGTTTCTTACAATGTGCCAGATTTGCATTTGTTTTGTTAAGAGTTAAATAAATGTGAAAACAGATGGAATCATCAGTAAATAGTATAAGATAAATAGATCTCTTGAATTATGTATAGGGTGTGGGAAACTTATTTCAGAGTTAGGTTAAGACACTCATTTGCTGGGGGTGTGAGGCATTTAATTGAAAGGAGGCAATGGCTTAAATTTTCCCCAAAATATGGCTCAATTTGATCTCCTTTTTTCCTGCAGTGTAACACCTGTACTAGTAAATGACAACAATACTGGGCCAGGTAGTTCGAAAGTGGGTTAAGATAACCAAGGGTTAATGTAAAATTTGATTTCAGATCTGAAAGGTTTAAAAGAAAATTCAGTTAATAATTCCATTTGACTACAATTTGATGGTTGCGTGCTCTGAAAAAGGAATTGGGAAAATTATCTCAAAACAGCTTTTGAACAGAGAAACATAAAAACCTGGATTAAAACTTAAGACTGGGTTAGTGCTAATTGGCCATCAAACAACTGGGCCCTAATCCTTAACTTTTAAAAGCAACAAAGTTGGTACTCCTAATTATTTCCCAAACTTATCATGTTCACAAACTGTTACAAGCTGCAGTATCCATGTGCCAATCTAAACTTTCTGGCACTGCAATTACACACTGGTGCTCATTCAAGGATTTGACAGTAATTCTTTTGAGCTTACTGAGCCATTTATCAAAGCTGATCTCTGTAGCATGAATCAAACACTGGTATTACTCCTCTCTCTGGAGGGAATGCTAGTCCATGGCAGGTGACCTCCCAGCAGTTCATCAAGTTTTCCAATCATTTTCTTTTACCTGCATAAACTTGTGGTTGGAGAGAAGCACTGAGAGTGTTAACTGAGATCATGATGCAGCCACAAAGTTAATTTGATTTTGGTTGGCTAGTCTGCAGTAGCAAACTAAAACCTGTATTTCCTGTGGTAGAACTCCCCTCCTAAAAATGCCCATTTTTGCCTTTTTCAAAGGAGAACAACCTTATGGGTTGACGTCATTTAATAGTTACTGGCACACTATGATCTTATTTTGGACACGTAATTTGTTATTGCATAAAAAATTACATAGGGTCCAAAATCAGATCATAGTGTCCAATTTTGGATACTTGGGTCTGATTTTGGGTTTTGGACATTTGTGTTCAGTATTTATCGATACTGCCTCCTATGGAGGTAGAGCCATAATGTTATCTTGTTGAGTGAGTGTAACAATAGAATACAAACAACCACAGCCCAAGACAAAGTCTGCCAAATTTTACCCAATAGTCCTTGCCCTGGGCTTTGGTTTGTTCAGAATATCCTCGGTCATTCAGTGCTTGGAGACGATTTCTTGAAATCACTTTCAATGTTACTGTGAAATTAGCATGTGATCACTCTTTCCCAATGCTAGTTATTGTTTCTTCCAGAGTACTACAGGCTGTGTGTGAAAAAACAAAGCTTTACCTTACAAAAATGAGTTTAAAAGTCTGATTGGCGCATCATGAGAACTTGCAGGAAAAATGTTTTCTTTGAAGAAAGAGCATCTTACCATTTGAATCAGCAAATTATGCTCTAATGATCCAAAGATGTTACTTTTTCAGTTGTTGCTGTGACACTACATTTGATAATAAACATCTCAAATTTCACGGTTGCATTCCCGGTAAGTACTTGAAAATGAGACTTTTCCTCGGAGAAATAGGCAATTAAGTTGGATGTGCACATCATGGAAACTTCAAAGAAAAATTTTAATTATGCAAAGAGAGCATTTTACCATATCAATCTAATGGCCAAAAGAGCCACAAAAATTGCGGCATAAGCTGACATCTGTCAGTCAGAAGTTTTAAATGGCTTGTCAATCCCAAATAAGTGAAAAGCACCGTTTCTCAAAGCTGCGAAAGTTGCGGTATAAGCTGACATCTGTCAATAAGAAAGTATTAAATTGCATGTCAATCCCAGTAAAGTGAAAAGCACCATTGTCAATGCCGTAGAAAGGGTACTTTTTTCGCACTTTACATATCATCATTTCTTGCTGAAGGGAGGCTTTTTTTCTCAAAAGCTAGAAAACGACAGCATCTTTAAAAGGTGCCACCCTATAAATTAAAATTCAGGAAAAAGGTAACAATTTCGCATTTTGTCCCGTCTAAAACATATATCCAGAAACGTCATATTTCAGATTCTCAGCTGTTTCAAACAATCAGAATTAATTTTTCTTTCGAAAAGTAGAGTGGCCAGCGTCATTGGGCACCAGCGGCAGATTTTCGATTTTTGACATAAGTGGCCGATTTCCGATTTTAGACACTAACGGCTGGTCTCTGATTGTGGACATTAGTGGCCGATTTCTGATTCTGGACGCTAATGGTTGATTTCCGATTTTGGACACTAGTGGCCGATTTCCGATTTTGGACACTAGTGGCACGCTCCCGCGGGATCTGATCCTGCACAGTCTCGCGGAACATGTTTGAATGACGCGAAAGAACTGGGATCGAAAGAAAATGTAACATGGCAGTCGAAGCCTTGAAATGTCAAATTAGTCTGTTGATTTTATCTTCCAGCTAAGTTTAGTTTGCTCTCGAGTGTATCATCTTTGGCATTACTTGTGACATGTTTAAAGACGTTTTAATGCAAAAAAACACTGGTTAAAGTGGCCTCAAAACGTTCAAAAGAAGAAAATGTGGACAAGAAACGGAATGCAAATGATGTTAGATAACAACTACACGAGGTAGGTTTATGCATTGATTAATTTTAAATAGGAAGTGTTTTCTCTAAGTTGTAGGGGGTTTAATCTGTATGAGTAACTGTTGATAGTACCTGCAGTGTACCTGGCCACATGACGGCTGATCCCTTTTGGAAACATTCCTGGTATTATTTGTTACTTTTATGATGATGAATTAAAGGTTTATAATGATAAATGATGATCGATGTAAATTATTATGATAATGAGATTAAGCAATAATTACAATATTATTTATGATATTTAATGTAATCTCAGTAAAAATGACTTAGAAGAAATTTTCTTATGTTTTTAAAAGAGAAATCTTCTTTCCCCAAATCACCAACTGGAGTTAACCAACCCTCTAATCAGTTTTATATGGGCTTTACCTGAATTTTATACCTTGCTTTCACCAAAGAAAATCAAAAGTTTTGTTTTATAACGAAGTTCACTTAAGTTTCCAGCCAGTTTAGAGCCCAGTATGATCAGGCACGTCATTTAGAGAGGGCCTGTACTTAGATGAGAGACTGCTTACTATAGACCCTCAGAGGTCAAATTTTGTAAAAAATATTCTAAAATTACTAATTTATTGCAAGATATAGAGAAAAACTGTTTATAAGAATAAATAGTAAAATAGAGTGAGGACTGTTGTTATCATAATGAATGTAAAGTGAGTAAACCTTTTGCTTTTAAGTGGTGTAAGTAACTTTTATCCAGGGACTCCTATCACAAAGATTTTAATACTTTGTGGTTCGCTGTTTCACAACAGTCAGCCCACTAGCATTGTGGAATTTTAGAGAAAGATGTTGCAAAGTAGAGACGACATTTTTACCGTTAAGGACTGAGGTTTTAATGACGTGATTTCTACACACACAGTAATACACAAAAATGAATAAATAAACTATATATACAGCAAATGCAAAGGAAGTACATGAAACTATTTAAAATTATGCGGATGTGAAGATAGTTTGCAGTATGTCATTAAGACAGTTCTTTTTATCTCAATCACATGGAGTATTAATGTAAAACTTAAGGATCAGAAAACTCAAGGTTTATTTCTGGAGATGTTCCCTTACTTTTAGGCAATTAGTAGGGTTGTAAATTTGATGGTTTTTTGCCTGAATTAGTTTAAAATGTGGGATTTTCCAAATACAATCTCAAAGCTTTTTTAAGTCAGCAAAATCAACTTTATAAGTCATAGTTCACTTCCCTTTTATCACACCCTTAAATCATTTAAGGTATTACTTATGCTCCATCTTGTCTCTTTCCCCTTGCTTGCCTGAATATAAAGCCTAGTGAGGTGAAACTATTCAAGGTTTTGCAAGCTATACTGCTAACTCCAAAGTCAAGCAGTTTGGTATGTTAATTGTTTTTTCCTTGGGACCAAACCTTTATTTCTGGAAGTCATTTTATGACTTTAGGTCATCACCTGGTGACTTTGAAAAAGGTTGTGCTTGAAGCCCTGATGAGTTTTCTTTTTACTCAGGATTTTAAATTTTTTGCAATATCGATAGTATTTTTTTGTCCCCAGATGTTCAGAACTGATAGAGGTGTTTAATGCCATTTTTTAGGGTGTTGGGTTGTGGGCATAGGCTTTGTGGGCACAGTGTTTTTGAGGTCTTAGACTTAAATGTAGAATCTTGGGTTCTTGAGATTTTTATGGTTCCTAGGCCTTTTGGCTGTTTTGCTCCTAAAATTTTTGCATCTTTGGATTTTGGTCTTAAAGGTTGTTGGTAGATTGCTTTTTCTTATTTTTTGCATCTTAGGGTCTCTGGCATCATGGTCTTATGCTATTTATGTGTTAGGCTTTTATTTTAAGTGCATTTTTCAGGGTCACAAGTTTGATTGGGGGGGGGGGGGGCTTAGATTTTGCATGTGCAGGTGAAACTCGCCTCCCACTTAGCTCAATTGGTTAGAGCGCCAGCTATTGTGTAGGAGGTTGAGGGTTCGAGCCCTGGCCAGACCAACACTCAAGGTCTTGAAATAATTGAGTAGAATGTGCTACCTTTCTATAATGTCAAGAAATGGATAGACATTCTAGTCTTCTTGGAGAAGGACGAATAAACTGTAGGTCCCGTATCCTACAGCTATTAATTAGGTAATTTTGTTAAGCAGGGGACATTAAAGAACCCACTCACAAGATTACTGTGATGTGGTCTGGCCTGTTTACTGTGTCCGCAGTAATTGGCGTAAGCTGTTGTGGAGTCCCTGCCTGTCAGTGAAGCTAATAAATTATAAAAATTAAATCCAGATTTTTTTTATTATCCCGACTTGCCTCTCTTGTCCCGTTTTTTCACAAAATATGTATTGATTAGTCACGTTTGAGATCAGAAACAACTTTTCCCCATCAAACAAAGCAAAATACTTAACAGTGCTGACGCTATTCCTAAAAGGAGCTTCAAAGAGTGATAGAAATAGTGACACATGCACATTGTAGCAGCTTGAAACGAATTGATTTACATGGTTAGCAGGCTGACTGCTAATTGAGACACTGGACTCTGAATTAAAATGTCAGGCTTTGAGACCTGGCCAGAGTCATGGTGTTGTGTTTTAGCATCTTGTCTAGATAGAGTACTAAATAAACACTCTTAGTTGCTTTTCATGTGTTCTACATGGAAAAATTTTTGGCAAGCTTTGGGGTTTGGGCCACCTAGCTTGAGCACAGACTACCTTTGTATGGCTAAAAAGTCAGTAGAAACTACTAATATATCAATAGCTTATCCATTTTTTATTGATAGAATATTCGTGATCAATACTGTATCTATTCATTTACTAACTAAAGAAGTGTTTTTTATACTTAAGATCTACTGTACCGAATAAAAGCATGCCAGTTGGACATTACAAGCTGAGAAGTGAAGCAGAAGAATACTGAGATTGTTGATGTATGTTGAGAATGACACAAGTGAAGGGTGACTTACTATTCAGATCTTTGGTACCCAATCAAATTCTAAATGTTTTATTTGGCCCAGTCCAAGTGCCCTTTGAATTTGGGCCACTGCTGGCCCGGAGTTGTCCTCCAAGGTGCAAGTGGCCATTCAGGGTGCTTTTTCACTCTTTTGTTGTTCCACAACCCCATCCATTAAATTACAGTTGATTTTGATTTTGATCATTTGTTTGTTTGTTTGTTTGTTTGTTTGCAGTTTTCCCGTAATAACATTTTAGTGTGTTGGCTACATTGAATTGCCCAATTTTTTTTGTGTCCTACATTTTATCAGGGCCTTGGGATTTCCATGTATTACATGTATATTATGTAGGGTTAATTAAGGTGTCTGGCAATTTTGGGTCTTTCTCACATTGGTACATGGTTGCCACAGGTCATGAAAAAGTCAGGAAATAATAAATTTGGTAATGATCAGGGAATTGTCAGCACTTAATTGTGTTAGAGAAAATGTACATCTTTGAAAGAAGTCAAGAAAAAGTGAAATTTCAAGAAAATACACGGTTGGTCATCTTGTCTTGGACCGCTTCAAGATGTAAGAGGCTGCTGCTTTTGATGTTGGGTTTTTCTAGAAAATGAATCCTTTTTCCATGTTACCTTGAAGAACTATCCATTTTTGTACACTGCATGTAACTAGGTGAAAGCGTAAATTTATGAGTGGACAGGATGGCTGTCAGGGGAAGTTGGAGGCCATTATCAGGACTGTTTGGGAAATTGCTAACTCATTTGTTCAGGGAAATTTTTCATTTGTCAGGGAATTTCAAGAACCTGTGACTGTGGCAGCCACGTTGGAAGGTTTAGCTGCCAACTTGAGTTATTTGAAATTACCATATTAATAAACAAAGTATCATGAACAGAAATAAGATTTTTTTACTGCTGTTTCCTCAGATTATTATTCTTTTTTTTTATTTGATGTGCATAGCCAATGTGTTATACTCACTAGATATTAAATTTTTTTTTGTCATGATTTTCACTCATGTAGCTTAAAGTTCTGCTTAGCTGCATGGCTTAAAGCCGTATAAATTGAAGCAGAATGTTGGTTTTTCTTGAATGATGGTTCTTTGTGTGTAACGATCTCTACACTTGGATCGCCTTGGTTGAGCTGTGGGGTGGAAGAAGTTGTGCCATTTGAAGCCATCTATTGGTAAGTAATCTATCTTCAATCTCTTTAACTACAATATGATGTGGTTACTGACTAGCTATCTGACTGACTGTCTGGGTGACTGGCAGGCTGAAAGAGAAACTGACTGGCCACCTGAGTGTCAGACTGACTGACAGACTGGCTGGCTGAGAGATTGATTGACTGGCTGACTGGTGGACTAGCTAAATGGCTTACCAACTCACTGGCTAGCTGTCTTAGTAATTATTTGGCTGATTGTCTGGCTTTCTTGCTGGCTGAGAGAGACTGATTGACAGACTGACGAATAATTATGCTAGTTTGCTGGGTTGCTGGTGGGCTGTCTGAGAGACTGACTGACTGAGATACTGGCAGACTAGCTGACTGGCTGACAGAGAGACTGACAGACTGACTTACTGGCTGGCTGGCTGGCTGGCAAGCTAACTGACAGACTTACTTACTGACTCACTGCCCATCTAGCTGGGTATCTGACTGACCGACATACTGATTGGCCTGGAGACTGACTGACAGGCTAGTTGCCTGGCTCTCTGGCTTCTTGAGAGACTAATTGATAGACTGACAGGTTGGTCAGTTTGCTGGGTGGCTGACTGACTAAGAGACTGACTGATTGACTGACTGATTGACTGACTGTTTAGCAAATCAGCCGCTAGAAGCCAAAACAGCAAATGAGCTACTGGTGGCACAAATCGCAAAATGGCCACTAGTGGCCAAAATCTTAAATCGTCCACTATGACTATTTCTGTCTGGATGGCTTAACATTACTTTTCACTGCAGGAGTGGTCTGGGAAACTGAAGAGGGCCTTCATTGATGAGAAAAAATATCTACCCCCCGGGATGGTGTAAAAGAAAATTGTAAACTTGGCAACTGTCTCCTTTTTATCTCTACGTGTTTTTGTACAGGGGCTGACTATAGCTGACTATATTTCAACCATTCAAAAATCCATGATCTGGATTAGTCAAGCCCCTGTCATTGCCATTTTCGATTAATGATCATCATGCACTCGTTGAACTGGATACAACTGTCTGTCACAGGTGACAAAATCTTTTAAATGATGCATGGGATTAGAGTAGACAAGAAGCATCACAATAACTCAAACTGTTTCCAAACCATTTCTGTTTTCAGATCCTTCTGACACAAACAAAGCCACACCTCTAGTCACATTGATACTTCACTCCACACGACAAGGTCGTATATTTCTTCCAAGTGCAAGTCCCAAACAGGTATTCAGTGGCACCTTAATTTCTCACTTAAGTTTGAGTCAGTGTATTAAATCTCATCTTCACTCATTTCCATTGCAAGAAAAAACAAACTGCGGCCCGGCCCGTAGTACGTAAAATTCATTATAACATTTTCACTTCTACCGATGGAGTTACTGATCGGAATCCAGAATCTAGTAAGTCAGCTCAGAATGTAGGGGGCGAAATTAAACGGTCGAGAACAGTTCCGAATCGCGCGCATTTAAGTCCAAAATGTCTTGCAATTAAAACGAATTGTCAAACAGATGTTGGAATATAGTTCATTACAAGCTGGTGTCATGAAAAATTTCGTCTCGGCCAAGAGATTAATTGCCGAATAGAACAAAATAATAAGGAACCATAGTTGACAAAAAAAAACCACCTGACTTGGGCAGCAAATAGCAACCTAGGCTCACAGGAGTGTACATGTAAATGTACTGTATCAGCGTTACATTTTCTGGATGCAGTTTTTGCCAAATCTTTTTGCGAAGTGTTACAGCATGAGTTGGCATTATTTTACTTC